TATGTTTTCTTTCAATCACTCCATTTTGTTGTAGAGTATATATACACAATTTTTGATGTAAAATACCAAAGGCTTGAAGCAAAACTTGACATTGATGACTGGTGAATTCACTGCCATTGTCGGTTCTTATAATCTTAACATTCTTTTCAAATTGATTCTTGACCATTTTAAAGAATGATTCAAGAGTCTTTATTGTGTGTGATTTTTGAATTAACATGATGGTCCATGTGGCTCTAAAATAGTCATCCACAATGGTGAGCATGTAAGGAGTTCCTGTAGGCGTATATTGTTTGTATGGACCCCAAATGTCAATATGTAACAGATGAAAAATCGACTTGGTATGGATCTGGGAATTTAGAAAGGACAATTTGCTCTGTTTTGCTTTGTGGCAAGTGTCACATGGCTGTAAAGTTTTTATGGCTAAAGCATTGCATAAATGACTCAGAAAATCTAAATGTTGCAGGCAATGATATGAAGCATGTCCTACCCTATTGTGCCAATCAACAATGGAAATAGAAGAAGTTTTATTAGCATGAAACATATCATTGCCAGATTTTAATTTCCCAGTAGACATTTTATTATAGAGACTAATTTCTCTATTATAACTTTCAATCTCCTGATTTAGAAAACTATGATCATCTAACGTATACAACTTCCCATTCAATTTTCCAATTGCTAGAATCCTTTCATTCTTCAGGTCCTACAAGAAGCAATGAGTTGGATAAAAAGTGAATTTAACCTGTGCAGTTTGTGTCAACTTTGGGACAGATAAAAGGTTAAATCTGAATGTAGGAATGTGTAATACATTGGTCGGGAGCAATCTTTGATTTATAGTGATAGGGATAGATAAAAGGTTAAATCTGAATGTAGGAATGTGTAATACATTGGGCAGGAGCAATCTTTGATTTATAGTGATGGATCCGATGTGTTTGACATGCTTAATAGATCCATCAGGTAAACAAACAGCAGTAGATTGTGTAACAGGTTTAATATCAGTCATTTGGTTAATGTCTGTGCATATATGATTGCTGGCACTAGTATCTATTATCCAAGTTCTACGTCTAAAATCATCAAGTGATGCAAAAGCCAAATGTTGAGTACACATACCTGAATAGTCGTTGAGATGTGCAAAATTGATTTGATTTCCATTATCTATCAGCAATTTTCCTTTGAGCATTTTCATTAATTCCTATTGCACAATGTCTGTGACACTACCAAATGATACCTCACTCTTTTGATTCATCCCAGCTCCCTTTTCTTCAAAATCAAGTGGTGAATCACCCCATATTCATCACATTATTTATCATGGTTCTCCTTCCAAACTCCTTAGCTCATTGTTCCTTCAACTCTTTGTACCAATTCGGATAACCAATTAACTTGAAACAATCTTCCTTTGAATGTCCACTTCCATTGTAGTGATCGCAATACAGCATCTCCTTATCAAAGTTGTTAAACCTCCTATTGGTTCCTCTTCCAAAGGCAATACTACCTCTTCCGGAATTATACCTTCCAATCCAATTTCCTCTTCCTTTTATGTGTCCTTTACCTCTGTAATTGTTTTCTGTTGCCATCATAGCTAGATTATCATTAGTTTCCAGAAAGAATACATGTACCTCCCTTTGTTTTTCAACTCTCAAAACCATAGAGTAGGCTCTATTAATTTACGGTAAAGGATCCATCACTAGCAATTGATTTCTGATATTATCGTAAGTATAATTTAATCCCATCAAAAACTGCATAAGTTTATTAAATGAGGTTAAATTAGATACTTCCTTCGCAGCTCCACAAGTGCAAATTGGGATGGGCATTAGACATGCAATTTCATCCCATAGTTTTTTGAGTTTAGTGAAATATTTTTCAACTGATAATGATCCTTGAGTTGAGCTACTAATCTCTCTATGCAATTGGTATAGTAGAGGACCATTGCATTCCCCATACCTTTCCTCCAATTCGACCCATAAATCCCCAACTGAAATTGCGTAAATGAATGCATCTACAATTTCCTTCGAGATTGAATTCAGTATCCACGATCTAACCATACAATCAACTCTAATCCATTGATCGAACTTTGAAGTATTTTCAGCTGATTTCTCACGTTTCCCATTAATAAATCTCAATTTCAATATTGCACCTAGTGCAATTTTAATCGATCTACTCCAACTCAAATAATTTTTGCATGTTAGATGTGAAGTTAGTAGTATCATTCCTGGGTGATCTGATCCTTGCAGATCCAATAGATCTCCATTGCTATAATCCTTTTTTGAACCTCCATCTTCAGTGGGTAAGCCTTGAGTTCGCTCGTGTGTGATTCCGGTAGCCATGATCGACGACAGGTTAGATGATTGAGCTCAGGATCTGGGAAATTGGCTCTGATACCATATTATTTTTGTAGAAGAAGGAATTATGCAGCTGAAATGGAGCAAGTTTTCCGAGAGTTCTTTTTATTCAGCTAAGCACTAAACATAGAGATCCTAAGGCATTTATACAAATATTAACCAATGATAAAACGCCACATAGCACAACCAACTAACTAACTGAAACCAAGTAAAAACATGTGAATAAAGAAAGGAGAAAATATTAAAATGATATAAGTCTTCAGTGAATAAAATATTAATGTGACAGTTATTAATAGTTTATAGATATTTGCAAAATAATTGAGAGGGTGAATCCATCCAATTTGATCTTTATTAGCGAGTAATCCTAATGTAAACGGATTTGCTCTGAATTTCAACAATGATTTCGTTAGATATTTTACTTGTGAGGTTCATTGGAGGAGGCTAATCAAACTCCATTGATGGTGTACTTTGATATTGACCCCAGCCTCGGCCCTAACAATCTAGATTCTCTCTCTCTCTCTGCCCTTGAATTTCTTTACAAGCCTACAATTGCTCTCTTGTTTTTCCAAAATTTATTTTTAATTATACATTTTTTCATAAAATTAATTTATACGTAAACTGAAATATTTTTCTTATTTTTTAACAAACATTTTTTTAAAAAAATATTATTTTAAAACACATAAAATATTATTTTAAAACACATTTTCTTACAAAATAGAGCTCACACGAGCGAATAATTGAACTGGCCCAGCCCTAACAACCTCGGCTGTATCTTTCTCTCCCAGCCCCTGAGTTTCTTTGAAATAATCGAACTGGCCCCACACTATAATTATGTCTCCACAAGATTCTTTGCCTTTGTCTGGTTCATACTTTATTGTCTTCTCATTCTTTCTATTTTTCAGAAGTCAATTTTCTCTTTCCTGTGGTATTTATTAGTAGAAATATTTTTATAGGTGAATTATGACATCATCCTGATTTCGTATCTGACGATCACATCATATAACATATTCATTTCAAATGGGTTAAACAGCACTTATTTATGAAGTAAAAACATTGAACGCTTTTTATTAGGTATTGGATTTATTTGATAATTTCTTCCACTGTGGAAAATTTTAAGAATACGACATTGGTCGAAACACGAAATTATTAAGGAACCCAACAACATCATAGATGTCATTTTAGTTGATACATCTTGTTGTAAATTTTTACTATTCATATTGGTAGTGGCCTAACACGCTTACGAATGAGCTTAGAAATTGAGTCATGACAAGCACCATTACTTCAACACGGTTTATAGCATATAAAAAGAACAATTATTGATGATAGTTTTGGCTCATCATCAACTCGAACTAAGACTTTCTTTGGATGATCGTCAGACAAGATACAAGACAATATTACAATGACGACCCACCCGTAGACATTAAAATATGAAAACATCGGAAGACAACTTTGAACAGAGAACGTACAAAGTTGTATTAATGACTCTATATTGGAGCCCATGTCATCTTGGGTTTTCGTCTTAGTCCCTATATGAACTTCATTATTTGAGAATAAATTTTATAATAAGTGATTCTTTTGAAATGTGTGATTAAAAAGTAATTAAAATACTGAATTTATGTACAAAATTATGTTATTGAGAGAATATGTGATTGCAAATAGGTAAATAAAATTAAATCCAGAGAAAAATGAATTTTAAGTAATTAGGGTTCAAGCAAGGGGGTAGTCATTTGTTGGAGTAGTGGAGCCCAATATGGTGGCTATGGGCTCACTTTCTCTTGGTAAATCATGGGCTTGGATGACAAGTCCAGTAACTAATTGGAAATTTTTTTGCACATGACCCTATCTCAAAAAAAGAAATTGAAAATACAGGTATCAAACCAAAGTTTCAAATATACCCTGAAATGATAACATCATTTAATTATATTGGATATAAAGAGTCCTAACTTTTTAATATTACCTTCATTAAATAATAAAATCAGTCTTTATTTCTATTTTCATTTTAGAATAAAGTTATTTGTACAATCTATGTTGACAATTCATGTGTTGTCAAAATCGATACTTTTAATTTAAAAAACAGTTTTAAAAACGGATGATATAAATTCTTACCAACTCATGGTTGTACATGTAGCATGGATCTTCATTTTATCTCACAAACTACTGTACATACGATCATCAATCAAAATTCTCAAATTTCGGTACCAGGCTACATTGAAACTTGAATTAGAAATTCCGTATTTGAAAATTTCAACGAAGTGTTTGAAGAACATTATAGTTCGAAGAATTTCAGGTATTCATCATCGTGGTTTCAAGATCCAGTAACAGGTATGTACAATCTCACAAACTAAAATATGTTGTTTCTTAAGAATTGAATTTGAAACAACCTTCATAGATAATTGTCTCATAATAGTTGTACTAATTTTCATCAGCTATTTAATTTTGAAGCATCACAAAATTTCTGCCAATTGCAGACACAAATTTTTGTGTGTGTTCTATGTGTACTTTTGAATTGCTGATTTCTCAGCTTTGTAGGTTAAAAAAACTTTACTTCAAAAGAAAAAGATAAGAAATGCTAATAGATAGAACAAAAGATAATATCTGGAAAAACTGTGTGTTACAACAAATTAAATAAAAACAAAACTTCAAAAATGAAAGAAATGAGGTTTTTTACTCGATGTGCACCCACATTCCGCGGCTTGGCACACCATGATGGACAACGAAGAGAAGATAGTAGCCTGGAGGAGCAAGCTTCCCCGATGGTGGTGCAACGACACTGATTAGTTGGTTTGTCACTTGCTTGAGCCCCAAAATAAGCAATCTCTGGTTTTGGGAGTACCCATGGGTGGTGAATGGTGGTGAGTACATAGTCACCTTAATATCAGACTGATCGATTTGGGCATCTAATCTGATCCGCACATTGAACTCACGTCCATACTTGAGTTTTTTGTCTGAAAAGAACTCCAATATCTTCGGTCTATATTGTTGAAGCTCGGGAGCCAAATATGGCGGCGAGAATTTCTCGACTTTCAATTCAGTAGGATAAATCATTTCAGGATTGTCCTTTTTGTTGAATTTATAGTAATCGTTTGTGTTGCTTCCGGCTACGAGGATTTGTCCATCGGGTAAAACTGCAGAAGATGAATGGTACATGCGAGGAATGGTTGTTGGTGTTAATTCCTTAAATCTTTCACCCTTATTCTTGTTGGGACTGTAGAGTACAGGCGTGAGATTTGGAGTTTCTGCAGCATCCCATGCTGAAGTACCTGCCTGTGCACCGTTGATTATGAGTATATCTCCTGTCGGAAGAAGAAGCAAGTCGCCCATGACTCGTGGCGATGGCATATCCTCTTTCTCCCATTGAGCTCCTTGTTTCGTGAGACTTAACCTTCCGCAGTCTTTCAATGCAGGGAAGAATTTTCTTGGCGGTAACTCTGAAAACTTGAATGCATCAGGCGTGTTGCCACCACAGACGATCACTTCAACATCCACTTTTTCTGGGTTTTCTACATTAAGATTGATCGGGAGTAGTGCTGACATTCCTGAAGCCGGGTAGTTCCGGGAACCACCGGCCAAGTCGGGGAGGTTGTGAAGGGTTTCTCCAGTGTAAGGGTTGAGGATGATGGATTTGTAGTTTGAAAATACAAAAATGTTCCCATCTGGAAGTAGATTAACAAATGGGTAGAGATTATTCTCTTTCTCATCCATCGTTTCCTCAAGGAAGGGTAAGCCATATTGTTGTATCGGAAAATTCAGTTCTTCTGATGGAATTATTTCATAGTTGTGTGCGCCGCGACCACCAATCACAACAAAGCTACCGTCTTCGAGCATAATTTGTGTAGCATACCTGCCAGGCAGTTCACGAAGTTATTTCGTGCATGTTTGGTATACAATATAATGAATAAAAGTTTAGCTTATTTTCGTTTACCATCTATTGGCTGAAAGTGCTGCTTGATTTTCTTGAAACTCGCAGTTTTCACATGGATTGATAACTCTGAGGGCTCGAAATCCTTCCTGATTACCACCTGTACTGACTAGGGCTCCGTTTGGTGACATAGCTCCTGATGAGCACCATGGATCATTTTCCATCTGAAAATCAAAGAATTGATGAAGAGTAATTTACTGATAAGTCTCTTGGAATTACACATTTAGGGCTGAATAAAGGTTCTTTATATATTGTTAAGAAAATCATTAGAAAAAGAATATTATGTATGATACGCTTTTGTTCTCATTTGATTGTATTCTATTCGCTCTCAATTATTGGAGGTTCTTCCTAATTAAATTTGTATCTGTTATTAGTAACATAACCAGGGGTGGACATGATCGAGCTAGGTCACGTTTGCACCAACTCAAACACTAAACTAACAGTATGGGTTGAGCGAACCGACAATCAACCCCATTCGGGGAGGAAATTACCCGTCTAACCGAATAAATAGGACGAAGACGGGGTGATGGTCATTACTTCGAAGCGGGTATGAGTGTGTACGGGAAACATAGTCCCCCACTCCGTTTAAAGTTAATTTCAGATTTCTTTTTTTATTAAACAAAAATAATATATTTATCATTATTTTTAAAGAAAACATAAATTGTTTTTAACAAATTAGTAAAAAAAGTAATAATATTTACTAATTAAAGACATAAAAAAATTAAACCAAAAAATTAAAATAAATAAAAATTAAATTAGCCAATAAATAGGGTAGGGAACCTACCCCGCTCCACCCTAATCCTGTCCCATCCTGTCCCCCTTTAAACTGGTATGGGGATTGGACAATGGCAAAAAAATATCCAACTGGACAGGTGCGGGAACTACCAACCCATCCCGTTGCCATCTCTAGTTGAATCATGCTACTATATCAGAGATGTTGATTTATCCTTGACATAATGCTATAATGCATTTTATTATTGAGTTGTTTAAAACACAATCAACTTTTTCACTCGATCATATCTTGCGAACATCATTTATATCAAGTCATTTGTCAATATTTTTCTGGCAAAGTGACTTACCTCACAATTGTTAGGTTATCACCCTCTGCTAAATAGATTTTACCCTTTGATACTTGTAATATCCCATAGGCAAAAGTCATTCGTGCATGCTATGGGTTGATATGAATATCACGATGAAGAAAAGAAGAAATCAACAGCTTCTAACCTTCATGGTTTTGACTTGGGCTGTCTCTACATCGTATTGAATGGCATGAGCAGTGCAGTCGAGTCCTTTATCACCCTTTCTCCCTCCAACAAGCCTGCGGCATGCTGGAGGATAGGCCAGGATGTCCGATTTACCGAGGTTCAGGGTATCGAACCACACAGCCTTGTTATTTGGTAACAATTGTACGTGCATGGCTGAAACACCAGAATTTGGATTATCCACCTTCCATGAACCTAGGAAGTTTGTCTCTAAATCCGGCCTGTTGGCAGTGGCAGTATCCGATTCTTTCGCTTCCTTTGGTGGTTCGTCGTGGTTGCCAAATTGTGGGAATGGGAACCGGAACGGGAATGGGAATCTATGTTCACCCTCAAACCCATTTTCTTTTCCTCCCTCCTCCTTGTCGTCTCTGTTTACGGGTTTCTTATCGTCGTTGGGTTCCGATTTGTCATCCTGATTCTTAGATCCATCGCCACCGTAGGTGATCCCACCATGCTTCTTATCGTTACCGGGATCCGATTTGTCATCCTGATTCTCGGATCCATTGCCGTCGGAGGTGAACTTATCATAACGCGCATGGAAATTGATTGATTTTCCTTCCTCAACAGGATCGAGGGAAGGGAGCCTCGCCAAAACGAAGGTCAAAAGAAAAGGTAGGAGAACAATTACTTTACACAAATTAGACATTGAAGAACTCAAATCCTTCCACAAATGTGGGGCTTTGTTCTTGAAATATTTATTCAATATGTGCTAAATACCTGGCACCTACTATGATCAACTGTATTGAATATTAGAGATGAATTCAAGTGGGAACTTTAAAAAAATGCAGAAACAGTGGTGTGATATATCAAGAATACCTTAAAATTATGAAATATATACTAAAAATACAAAAAGAAGAAATAAAAGAAGCAATAACTAAATAAAGAAGTGAACAAAATTACTCAAATGTCTATTTTGTTTATAATGATTTATCATTGCATAGAATGCCAACTTCGCAGGGAATTGAATTTCCTTTTTTTATTTTTTATTTTTATTTTGTGTCTAATGTTTCGTTTTGTGTAGAAAATATACGATCCTTTTCTATTTATTCTTCCTATGTTTTCAATTTGGCATTGATGTTATTTTGATGAAAATGAAGGACAAGAAATACTAGTTTTACCTTTGAAAACTCTGAATTGTTGGGATTAATAGCTAATAAATCTCCTGCACATCCAAGTGTTTGGATTAGAGACTCAAAGACGTGACTTGTTCCACTCAAATTTAACAGATTCAGGATCTTGTCAAATTCTACATGCTTTCAATCTCACAGTCAAAATAAAAACTAATTTGTAATTTGCCTTGCTTTACTCATATTTGATGGTTGGGAAAGTTAACATGAGAACATGAAGCTAAATAACAGTAAGATGACGGCCTATTTACTGAAGGTAAAATATTTGTAGAGGTTGTTGTTGCACTTCCTGCTTATCAGGCTCAAATCAAACCCACGTGGCGGAAATCAAAGCTGACTGAAGCCCATGGAGGTCCGAAATGAATCGGTGAGAAGAAGCCTGAAGTGCCTCCTCAAACGAAGTCCTACTTTCCGAATCCCTTCTCGAAGCATCACCAGCTACAAGGAGTTTCGGATCAAAAGATAATCCCAATGAAGATCTGCTGAAGGCGATTGATGTGAATGAGTGTCAGATTAATAGTATAGAATAGGGTTGTCGGACGGCTCTTCTTAGAGCCTTTATGTGTACGGTGCAAGTGGGTGATAAGGACGTATGTGAAGGGACAGTTAGGCGGGTCAGAAAATGCCACGTGTATCTCATCCGACGGTCCGAGTTGTGTTTGTAACTTTATAAATAACTTCTCATTGTATCATTGTAGGGCCTAATGCCATAATAATAAAAGAGAAAAAATCCGACAAATCCTCTTATCATTGTATTCAATTTCTTACGTGTGTTCTTAACCTAGCTTAACTAGGATATTCATATTTATCCACAATTATTCCATTTCTTGTTAAAAATGATGGTTCTTGTGTATATCGACTGAAAGCCCGGCTACGAACATTATTTGGCTCACGACCCAGCTTGCCATCCCTTTTAATTTTGTCTTAGTCTTGGCTTACGTGGACGTGAGTGGGACCCTACATTCATTGGTCTTGTTTGGGGTAATAAAAAAATCCACGCCATAAAATTCACCCCAACAAAATTTCTTCCATACAAATGAAGCCCTTACATCAAGGACAACATGTGATAGTTCAGTCACCTCGGTGCATTTTTTTTCCCTTAGCCAAGTTTCTTATCTCACCGAGATTTTTCAAGGCAAGGTTTTTAACAAGGCACATGAGGTGGAATCGACCATTCAGACAACTGCCTCTCCAAAGAAGTCCACCAATGGGCATAAATAATCATATATGGACTTGGGAGACATTTGCCAAGTTTCTTATCTCACCGAGATTTTTCAAGGCAAGGTTTTTAACAAGGCACATGAGGTGGAATCGACCATTCAAACAACTGCCTCTCCAAAGAAGTCCACCAATGGGCATAAATAATCATATATGGACTTGGGAGACATTGTTACGCCTCCACTGATGAGGCTCAAGTCAAACCTACGTGGCCGAAATCAAAATCGAACAAAGTCTATGAAAGCCCGAAATGAATCAGTGCAAAGAAGCTCGAAGTGCCTCTTTGAGACAAAGTCCTACTCTTCGAAGCTTTTCTTGAAGCATCACCGACTACAAGGAGTTTCGGATCAAAGGAAGATCCCAACAAAGATCTATAGAAGGTGATTGATGTAAAGGGTGTTAGATTAATCTTACAAAATAGGGCTGTAGGACGGCTCTTCTCAGAGCCTTTATGTGTACAGTGCAAGTGGGCAATAGGGACGTATGTGATGGGATAGTTAGGCGGGTCAAATGATGGCACGTATACCTCATTTGACAGTCCAGATTGTGTTTGTAACTCTATAAATAACTTCTTATTGAATCATTGTAGGGCCTAATGTCACAACAATAAAAGAGAAAAAGCCCAACAAATTCTCTTAACCTTGTATTCAAGTTCTTATTTGTGTTCTTAGAATTGTTTAACTTGGATCTTCATATTTATTTACAAATATTCCATTTCTTGTTAAAAATGATGTTCTTGTGGATAGTGACAGCTTGAGTTCGAACATTATTTTGCTCGTCGCCAATCTATCTGTTACACTTCATCCAATTATAATCAAAGTCAAAGTCAAAGTAAAATAAGAATTAAATTGAATAAATGATTTTTACGGGGTCTAATTGGTAATTAATATTACTTGGAGGGCTAAAAATAATACATAAAGAAATTTAGGAAGTTAGTTCACATTATTAGAAATGAAGGGACTAAATATAATTTTGTATGAAGATTGAGGACTTGACTTTGCAATTTGACCATAGTTATTCAATTAACTTTGACTTACCTTTTCAATTGTGCATACCTGCGGAGAGAAAAGCCAGAAACCGTTCCAGGAAGAAAGAAAAAAGAGAAAGGAAATGAAATGAAATGAAATAAAAAAGAAAAAAAGGGAAGAAGAAAAGAAAATGGAGGAAATTAGGTCACTATCGTCAATTTCTTTGTCAATTCTTAAAGTTAAGCATAAATTTTACTTATTGAAGAATGATATTAGATTTTAGGGTTTATGGAAATTTTTCCTAAATTCGAAATTTAACAAGAAGTATGAGTTATTGAAACATATTTTAGATATTAAACAAGAATATATATAGAGAAATGCATATTGGAGGATTGGTGTTGAAGAAAGTAAAAACTTGGAAATGGGTTTGTGAAATAAAAACATATTCTTTGATTTTCTTTTAAGTATATGATGCTAAATACTTAATTATGGATTTGAGGTTGGAATTTTCTATTTTTTGGCAATTTTCGGACAAAATCAAATCAGGAGGTAAAGAAGAGATTGGGACAGCTCACCAGCCGAACCAATCGTCCCGTAAATAGATAGTGAGTGGAAAAACTTAAATATTTTCAAGTATTGATAAACTGATTGTATTAGTATATTATGTGGGATTATGTGAAATAATTAAGTTACCTGATTATTATAAAATGTTCTCCAACTGTGATATATGTGGATTTACAAAGACTGTATGTTGATTACTTGTGAATTTGAATGTGAGACATATGTTTATTGGCCACTACTAGGGCACTGAGGCATGTGATTGTGTTGGTCACAAGTGAGACTCCTCGGGTGATCATGATGGTAGTTAGGGGATGTGCCTTTGGTGATCACGGAATGATTGACCACTTGCTTATGTTGTTTGATATGGAGATTGTTAGCATCTCGGATGGGACACTTCCTGGGTGAGCATGGAGGCTGTCAGAGAATGTACCTTTGGTGATCACAGGAGGATGGTCCACTCGATTGTGATATTGTGATTACAGGCATTTCAGGTAGGATTCTTCTTGGGTGATTATGGAGGCTGTTAGGGGATGTACCTCTGATAATTAAATGAGAATATTTCGAGTTTACATTGATGATATTATCATGTCTGGGAGATGATGTTGTTTTTAGTATTACAGGATTGGTTCTATCTTGATTATTATTATTATATCATGTTATATCATGACCTGTTAAGTGATGTAAACTCGATTTTCGATAAATATGTGTAAATGGAAGGTATAATTATTTTTGAACTTCTCCACTCACTGAGCGATCAACTCATATATTTTTCCACTATTTTCTTATCAGGTAGCAGTTGAGTTTTAGGCATCTTGTGGAGTTGAGCCTGGATTTTGGACCACCGACGAATTGAGCTAGAATGATATTGTTGGGAGTTGTATATAATTGTTTACAGGTTGGTTAGTCCAAAATATAGGGAAGATAATGCCGAATTTTTCATTAAAATATTTTATATGTTTCACATTGTAGTAGCCTTGATAGTGGGTCCAACTTTTAGTTGGTATCTGTTATCGGCGCACGTCACACTCCGGGTCCACTAGCTTTATCGAGGGTAGGACGTATCACTATCCATCCACTTTAACTATCGACTTGGCCTTGGCTTATGTGGACTCGAGTGGGACTCGACATCTGTTGGTCTCATTTTTGGGGGTAAACATATTTATTGTTGCGCCTCTTACTAATGATGGTTCTTGTATATATCAACTGAAAGCATGGGTTTGAACAATAATTGGTTTGCGACCCATCTAGCTATCTCCTTTAATCATCAACTCGATCTTGACTTGCATGGACATGAGTGGGCCCTAACATCTGTTGGTCTCATTTTCAGAGGTTAAGAGATTTATTGTTGTACCTCCTACTGATGAGGATCAAGTTAAACCCACATGGCTGAAGTCAAAGTTAACTAAACTCCATGGAGACCCGAAATTAATAGTCTCATTCTCAGAGGTTAAGAGATTTATTGTTGTACCTCCTACTGATGAGGATCAAGTCAAACCCACATGGCTGAAGTCAAAGTTAACTTAACTCCATGGAGACCCGAAATTAATCAATGAAAAGAAGCTCGGTGTGTCTCTATCAGACGAAGCATTACCGACTATAAGAAGCTTTAGATCAAAGGAAGATCTTAATGAAGATATGCTCAAGGCGATTGATGCAATGAGTGTTAGATTAATAGTAAAGAATAGGGCTATAAGACGGCTCTTCTCAGAGCCTTTATAGGCAGGTCGGATGTTGCCACATGTACTTTATTTGACAATCTGAGTTGTATTTGT